CTTGAAGTCCGTTAGGGAACCCTAACTTCGATAAGATTCTGGACTCACTCGAAATAGAGGCTTCCAGAGGTATCACATCTCTAAAATCAAAGTAAATGAGAGGAATCGGTTCAATATCTTCTAGCTACTTGCCGAACGTGGACCATTCGTTGTAAATTTCTCCTTGATGCTCATTCGGGTTGTGATGTGATGCATAGAAGATTTCCGAGCCATATAGCTAGTATCAATCTACATAGCCGAAAAGTTAAAAGGCAAGTCTCTTACGCAGACGATACTGGATATATATCTTCGGGTGCTTCAGAAAATCCTCCAAGTAGTTGTACACAATTTCTTCATGTCAATGTATTGTTTTTATGCTCCAAGTTGGGGAAATCGAGCATATCCTCAACATGTTGGGAGATTTTGGTGAAGATAAGTGATCACAACAAGCAAGCTACTCTAACTTATCGGTACTTGAGAGGTTTATCGGCACGAGAGCTAGAGATATAGGGGCGAGGTCTAGTGCCAGGTTCCATTGCAAGTGTATCGGTAAACCTAATATAGAGCGAGTACTCGACAATGCCTAACTGGCAAGCGGTTAACGCGTACGTTCGAAATCGACCCATTTCTTTTTGATGAGTTCTACAAATCTCCAAGATGCTGCTGCATACAGTAGAGTGTAAATATTGACGTGACTTAGGAACCTTGACAACCTCAACTTCAGTCAAAGCACCTGATGTCTTGTAGTATTCTGCACACACTGCACAATACAGTACTGCTATTCTTCATCTTTATCTAACAGTGGCAGGTCTAAAATTGCTTCCAGTAAATTCTGCAGTGCAGTCAGCACGGATTATGCACCTGGATGCCATAAAGCAGTGTGTAACACTTCCACTCACTTCAGCATCGAAGTGAGTGGCATACTTGTATTCTTGAACAAGCGCTATGGCCTTTTCTGAGAGCAAGTGTTTGATCAATGCGACTAATCGCGCACTACTAGTGGGTAACACTAAGACATGAATTTTAGCTTTTTTTTAAACGGCGATCATCTGTCATGAATAGAACCCTATGTGGGTAAGCGAGGGGGGAGAGGCGAGAAACTAGGTCCCTGATCAGCGCTTTTTCGACTTCACTATTTCAAATGAGAAGTAGGCGTCGATCTCAGGACTTTTTATCCATGATCTCTGCGGTGGTATCGATACCTAACTCTAGTTGAATGGATGACCGCACAATAAAATATCCACACGAACCACATACGTAAAGACACAAATCTAAGACAAGAAGAGGAGCGTCGCCGCTTCGTTCAAATTCAGTCTTAAAGAGGGAAACCTACAAACATATCCTGTATGTATCCCAAAGATCTAACAAAAAGGAACGCCAGATATATCACCACCCAAACTTCTCAACCTGAACATCTACATCTCTACCATTGTATATCATCTTCACACACGTATTCCTCACATCCCTCACTAATCCATCAGGCCCACTAACCACAACACCCGTTCTGCCCCCTTTCCTTGTTTCCTGCTCTACCCACTCCCTCAAAATATATCCGACATTTGGTCGTCCGGCCGTACTAGTCGGGGGCGGAATGAGTACGTCCAAGCCCCAGTTTTCGAGTTCCTCAAGTTTACTGTCCGGGATCCACAGGCGGTGGTCGGGCGCATGAGTAATCCAGAGTAACTTGACTTTCCTCTTGGTGCGGGTGGAAGCGGTTTCGGGATCGGTTGAAGAGGGGCAGAGAAGGGAGTGAACAAGGGGATATGCGACTGCAATTCCAGAGCCGCCTGCGATGAGAATGGTAGTATTAGAAGCTTCAAGCATATCCAGAGCGTGGGAGGAGCCATAGGGACCATCAAGGCGGATGCGGGTTTGCGAGGTGGTGCGGGCGTGTTGGAGGAGGGTACGAGTGAAGCCTGATTCGGCTTGGGTGCGAATAAGCAGAGTGAAACATGCGTGTTTTCCTTGCGAATCGTCGTTTGTTGTTGTCGGAGCAGCGGAAAATATGGTAAACGGATGAGATTGTATGGCGTGTTTTCGGGACAAGGCGGGCACAGTAAGGAAGATGTGTTCATTCGGTTTCCATCCTTGCCTCATGTTCTTCGGTGCTAGTGCAGACTTTCGAGAAGCTACTTCCCAGTTTGCGGAGACGAGGAAGGTTTCGTCATCTTCGAGGACGGTAAGGGTTGCGGGATGCGTGCTCGATTTCAGCCACAGCCGATACACGAGTCTGTCGATAAGGAAGATGGCAAGGGAAATACCAACATATGGCCTGGAGGTGTGGTGGTGGAACCATAGGAACACCAGTCCGGCGACTTGGAGCACTATGTGAAGGCCCAGAAATATCTCGTACCACCTCTGCCGGAAACTGCCTAGACTCGTAAAGTAGATCAACTCGTATGCGATGAAGGCAGCCAAGCCTAGAAGAACCACACGGTTGAACAGGAACTTGACCAGCGTGAAACCCAGATGTCTCAGCATCCCGTACCATACGGCTATCATGCCTAAAAAGTGCAAGAAAGCCTCCAAGCACATGAGTTCACCAACCCTTCGATGAAAGATGTTCAGGCTCTCGTAAGAATAGCCTGTCAAAAACTTGATGGGCTGATTCTTTGCGGCTAGAAGGTATAGCAAAGGCAGATTTGCGACGAAGATGAGGCCACATCGGTCGGCAAATACGAAGAGGTAGAAGAAGGTCAAGGGCATGCGGTAGAGGTTATAGAAGATGTTCAAGCCAACCCATGCGAGGACAAGCAGTGAGACGGCGTTGGTAGGAAGCGTTTTGTTGATGACGGGTATGCGAGGCGGTTGGTATTGGAGAGCGGCCTTGAGTATGTAAAATGGTCTCCATACACCAACGGGCTTGGGCTGCGGTCGTCGTGAAGGAAGCAGAGGACTGGATTCGTCGGCGCTGTTGGATGTCTTCACAGTGGTACTATCCGGTGGTGTTGCACTGCCTTCTATAGTGCTGCTTGAGCTGCTCCAGGCTTCTGCATCCTCTGTGCTGTTGGCCTCGTTATTGCGTGTCTGGGTGGTAGCTGCCCGTCTCCGCCGGTGCATCATAAACTTCTCGCCCCAGTGCCATATCGAAAACACCAACAAGACGGCCACCAGGACCAGATTGTAGGTATTCAGAAGCCTCCGACTAAATAGGATAGCAACGACTAGTTTCCTAAAGCGTGGGTCTTTTCCAGGGTCATCAGGATCTACAAGGGGGCCGCCGCCAGCAGCTTTGAAGCTGTCGTATTCATGCTGGAACCACGGTGCTGGGGTCGACGGTGTTGCTGTCAACGCGAAGCGGAGAGCGTCTCGTAGCCACGGTGGAGTAGCTTCCATGGTGCAAGATGAGATGGGTAGAGAGCGGATGCATCGGGAAGCAGTAGCATATCAGATGGCGCCGTGCTCCCCACAGTGATCGCGTCATGTCACACGCCCATGCACGCGCGCGGGTTGTCACGTGTGATAAGCTAGCTGGCTTATCTCCACCATTATACCGAGGCCTGTCTAACTGAATTGAGGCGGGATGCATTTCTAGCATTGCCATGCTCTGTAAGTGCCTTGTGCAGCTTTGCCATTTTTTAGTAAGAATAGCTAAAGAGCAAACTAATGGCTTAGTTTGGCGACTACATACACACCGTCTCCGTTTTGTCGCTCATTTGTTTGTCCAAGAAGCCTTTTCCTTGGCCGCAAAAGCAGCCATGCCAATCTTCTGGTCCTGGCTTCCAAACAAGCCATGGAACACCCTCCTCTCGTATTCGACACCTTCCCGGATACCGAGATCCTGGCTCTTGTTCACCACCTCCTTCGCCGCCTTGACTGCAATTTGACTGTAAGATGCGATCTTAGCCGCTGTTGCAATGGCGCCGTCAACGCACGCCTCTGGTGTCTCGAACACCTTTGCGACAAGTCCCCAATCACTTGCTTGCTGCGCAGCGATGTTGTCGCCCGTAAGAATGATCTCCATGGCTCTTGACTTGCCGATTGCCTTTGTCAGGCGCTGCGATCCACCAGCACCAGGGATGACACCCAGCTTGATCTCTGGCTGTCCAAACGTTGCCTTGGGTCCTGCATACATGATGTCTCCCATCATGGCGAGCTCGCAGCCTCCTCCTAGTGCGTAACCGTTGACAGCCGTGATGAGAGGCTTCTTGAGGAATGTAACGAGATCTGACCAAGACTCTATAAAGTCATTGCCATACGCGTCGCTAAAAGTAAGGTCTTTCATCTCCTTGATGTCGGCGCCTGCCGCAAAAGCCCTCTCTGAACCGGTGAGGACGACGGCACCAATTGACTTGTCATTCTGAAAGTCACGCAGGGCCTGATTGACCTCGAGGATCAGAGGGGTGCAGAGAGCATTGAGGGCCTTTGGCCGGTTAAGCTGGACTAGATGCTGTCAGCAGACGTGCTTGGAGCATTGCTGTTACTGTGCAATACAAGATTGATGTATTTGAACGAGGGATTGAAAACTCGTCTTCCGTACTTACTCAAGCCAACACCCTCCTTTGGCACTGACACAAGCACATGCTCGTACGACTTATTGGTAGTGATTCCCCTCACAAATCTAGGTAGGCCGGTAGACCGGAACTGGGAGGCTACCCTTGGGGCTGAGCGGAATGCTTGCATATTGATTATCGTCAATTGAACGTCCACTCTTGAGACCAGCTCTTGGATATTGTAGTTGAATCAAGGAGAGTAAATGTAAAGACGAGAGAGCACATGCAAATGTATGTACATAGCTTCCCTTCCAAGTGGGTAGCATCGGCCACCTCGGTAAAGCGCCCGCCAAAGCCTGGAATTGCTGGGAAGCTGCCAATGACGCCTCTAAACTCTTTTGGGCCCAGCGCCATCCCCAACTGTGTGCCGCTCTCAGCCACAGCCCTGTTCCGCAGGCTCATGATTTTGACACGACTCAACAACTTGCCCCTACTAAAGACGCGCCATTCCGACCACACCATCGCCAGTGTCGCCATCTCCAGGATACAGTCTTCACCGCACAAAACTGAAAATCAAGCGACGCAGCCATGGACGCCCCGGAGCCTGATACCCCCTTCTCTGCGGTCACAGCGCAAACTACAAAGTATGGACGGGTAGGTTATTTCCCCGGGGGGCATCGCGCATTTAATTGCCGACGCGCGATAATATATATGAGGCGACGAAGATAGAGGCAAAACTGGCTTTTGGATGATGGCATATTTGCTAATGCGCTGCGTAGATGTTCCAAGCATACCTAGACAAGTCAACGCCATACACCACATACCGATGGGGAGGAACAGGAGTCCTCTTCCTGCTCTTTGGTCTGCGCATATTCCTCGCTCAGGGATGGTACATTGGTATGCATCTGCCCTTTCACTTTCGACATACCACCGTTCTCGAATGGTCCTATATGGCGACGCATCTGTTATAATATGCACATTACTGACCACGATTACAGTTGCCTACTCTCTTGGCATCTACCTCCTGAACCTCTTCCTCGCCTTCCTCTCTCCCAAATTCGATCCAGCGCTCGAACAAGATGAGGGCATGGAAGACGGCAATGCCTCTGGCCTTCCTACAAAAGAGGATCAAGAATTCCGCCCATTCGTCCGCAGACTGCCCGAGTTCAAGTTCTGGTACTCGACCACAAAGGCCATTTCCATCGGCTTCTTCTGCAGCTGGTTCGAGATCTTCAACCTGCCCGTCTTCTGGCCCGTCTTAGTCGTTTACTGGCTGATTCTCTTTGGCCTGACCAGTAAGTTCTGTTTACACACGACTCCGACACCAACTAACCGATTCAGTGCGACGACAAATCCAGCACATGATTAAATACCGCTACGTCCCCTTCACTGTCGGAAAGGCGCGTTACTCGGGTGCTTCCAACTAAGCCAGGCCGCATCAATCTGCATCCATCCACCTTTGCTTTCATCAGATTGTACAACTTTTGGGAAGGGGTTTCGCCCTTGTGCTGCTTGCATCTAGGACACCGGCGCTTTTCCTTTTGGCGCCCGATAGACTTGGAAAGCCTCGTTTTGGCAAAGACGAGAATTGTTTTGGGATTAGTAGTGGTGCGTTGGCTGATACGATAATGGTTGGATGATATACGATGCTGTATGCGTAGTTCGGTTAGACGGCGCGATACAGCTGCAAATGTCAAAAACACGATTAATTCAAGGCATCTGATGTCTTTGCATTTCAACACTGGGGAGATGACTTGTTAGTTTGTGAATTCTGCTGCGGCCTTGTTGTACAAGCACCTTGAACAGGAGTAGTTGAGACGTCGTGAGCGGTATCTACCAAGACTAGCAATAGCGGGGCAACGAACACGAGTTGCAGACCCCCGCCACTTTACTCTACACTACTAATATCAATCTCAGTTTTTCCATCCAGTGGATGTAAAGATACTGTTATTCATTTTAGGTCAGATATCTAACACAAAATAATAAAAAAGAAGAAGAACTTCATGCAACAGCATCAGACAACCGCCCAACAACGCTACTCAAACGCAACAAAAGCATAGACTAAACCGCCACGGCTGGTGGAAAAAAAAAGACCAGTCCTACTCAACACGCATAGCAGGAGCCTCAAGCTCCAACTCAGCCAATGATGCCTTCCTCAGCCCCGCACCCGCTTTTGAGCCGTTCTCCTTGACCAGGTCAACTTCTTTTGTGCAAATCCAGGTGGATGCGTACATGTTTACCCTGTAGCCATCACGTTAGTATACTTGCATAGAATATGGTATGAAAAGTAAAGAGTAGGAAAGAGAGGAAACATACCGATCAATACACGTGCCTGGTAACCGGACCGCTACCCTCTTGACCGTAAACCCGCACTCGGCAAAGACCTTGATGTACCATGGCTCCAAGCCCGCACTACGTAGCATAACGCGGCCCTTGACTTTGAGTGCGCGATTTAGCGCGCGGATCTGGCGTAGTGCTTGAGTACCGTTGGGTGGGAACCAGTCCATGCTGTCCATTACGACGACAATAGTAAGAGTGCCGGGTCGCATGCGCGAAATGACTTCTGAGATTTCGTCGGTGTGGATGCGTAGACCGTTGAAGGCACCGGGTTTGGAGAGCTTGACATGTGACTTGGGGGAGAGGTAGGTAGGGTGCGAGGTTGGGGTGTAATGGCCGAGGAGAGTGAGCAGGTAGTAGTGGTTTGAGGTGCTGAGGAGTGTGGTGTTGACTACGGGCTCGAAGGTGTTGAGGACGTATTCGTAGATTGCATTGCCGCTTGAAGACTTGAGTTCCTCGTCTGAAGGTTCTTCGTGGAAGGCCATGTATTCTGCAGCGGCATCTTTGGGTTTTGTTGCTTTGGCCTCGTCGTAGTCTTGAGTCTTTTTGAAGTCGACTTCGATGACGTCACGTTGGGCAGGGGGGACACCGAGTGCTTTCCACAACCACTTCTCGTTGCCGAGGATGGCGTAGGTGAGGATCTTGGAGTGGAGCACGGTCTTGATGCTGCGTTGCCAGATTTCACGCTGCTCGTTGAGGGTTTGCGCCGCACACATAGCTTTGACGTCAGCGGTCATTCCTAGGAGGCGGAAGAGCCAACCGGCGATTGCGATGGCATTTCCAGAGCCGCCAGAGTAGTAGAGACCCTTGGAAGACGAGGAAGAGAAGATGGAAGGGCCATTTTGGACCCAGAATTGGAACGCATCGGAGGAGAGGTGCGGGCTGAGCTTCTGGATGAGTAGGTTGTGGAAGTCGGGGTGCTTGCCTTCACCAAAGAGTTTCCAGACATCTTGGTAGCCGAGTGATGTGAAGGCAGCGACTTTGAGCTCAAGCAGATGATTCTGTGACGGGTTGAGATCTACAGCATGGACGCGACGGCAGTTCTCTAGGCAAAAAGCAAGAATGTTGTCTCCAGCAGATCCAATTGCGAGGACGACGTCGTTGGAAGTTGGCTTCAGAAGTCGCATATCAGCCACATCGTCTTCCCAGGTAAATGCGTAGATGTACGAGTTGTTGAAACGAGTGTGCTTGGGAAGGGAAGAGTCGTAGTGAATGCGCCAGTGGTGGTTTTGGTACCATGCTGATGGAAGAGGCAAGCTGGACTGTAGATTGACGACTGCGCATTCGTATGCTTTGGAGTGGACTTCTGCGTCGCTTGGTGCAGCTCCTGTTTGAAGGTCAAGCGCATTGAGGTATGGCGACTCCGTAGCAGCGGCATCAATCTTGGCAAGTTTTTGAGTGGAAGCACCGTGGTCCTTTGAACATCCAATCCAGATGTAGTAAGGTAGCTTGATACCAGTGTTGAAGAAGTTGTTTCTGGCGTTCATGCTTAGGATTGTGCCGTGTTTGAACTCCAAGTAATCCTGGCACAGGTTAGAGCCCGTTGTAAACTTTGAAGAACTTAACTTACTCTTCGAGCAGGGCCAAGTGAAATTCTGTCGATAGCGAACCATTCTCTCCAGAATACTCGCGAGAGCCATATACAATGACGGTCGATGGCACCACCGATATAGTTCCTGCCCCTAAAGTCCACTTGGTCCTGGACGTAGAAGTCGACGACACCAAAAACGCCGTTAGGGCTCAGAAGGCTGCCCACAGAGTCAATGACGGGATAGAACTCGGGTATCATGCTTAGAGAGTAGCTCATGGTGACGAGCTCAGCTCCTCCAGCATCAGCGTTCTCATCAAGGTCGCGAACGGTTTGACCTTGGGAGACCTTCTCTTTGTGTTCATACGCTTGTGGCTCGTGTTCATGCAGGCGGAAAGCACGCGCGTCCTGGCAGATGACTTTGACGTTTGTCCACCCAAGGCGGGCGAAGCGCTTGCGTGCCATTTCGCAGAGACTAGGCGAGAGATCCACGACGTCTACGATAATCAGTAATGCTTCATTCATGGGACTCAGACAACTGACAAACTGAACGGAAGAAGCTCGTCACTGGGACGAAAGCGTTCATTTGCTCGACACTAAAAGTCCGTCAGTATGATATTGTGACACTGGCACATCAACGCTTACTTGTAACCAGTTCCTCCACCAATCTGCCACGATTAGTATCAAAATCGACTCTAGTTTACGCATCCACCTACATCAACCCAGACCGGGCGTTGTGAAATCAGACCAGCTTCAGCACGGTGTTTCAGTTGCGCAGCGACCAGTCCCAACATATCCTCGCGGCCGCAAAGGAGTCTGGTACGGGTAGCATCGTAGACTTCAGCCTGGGCTTTGTAGAAGCTTTCCTGTTTCTTCTGTTAGTCACGGTCAACATTTTTATGTATTCGACGTACAAGAGCGTCTTGCTGGCTACCAGATCCATCACCAGTGTGCGGCTTCAAGAAGCAGCCATAGATGAACTTCAGGTATGCCTCGACAGTGCTAGGCTCTTGTCCTTTGCTCTTTGGTCTGAGTGCAATGGCAAATACGGCGGCAAGAAAGAGGCCAATGATACAGAGAGTGACCGTGAGCTGATGAAAGGGGTCACGCGGAACGAAGGATAAGAAATCCAACATAGTTGCGACGCTGCAACAGAGTAGAGGATCAAAGACCACAGAAGAGAAAAGAGTATGCGGTCAAACAAAAAGAACCCCCGCCATGGAGGGGTTATATGAGAAGCATTCCGAAGCATCATTCCGACTTCGGTTCGTCACAATGCACCCCCACATGATTGCAGGCAAGCCACCTACTGTGTAAGGCAACATGCTCGCTGTCTTTGAGGCTTTTCAGCCAATGGTGCCCGCCACATGCTTCGAAGGTTCTAAGACGGTACGAGGCAACCTTGCACTGACGTCGGGTGTGATAGTGAACCGCGAGAAGTGCCCCAACCTAATCAACCGCAAGAGGCGGCTATGCAGGGTCTTGGAGGGGACCGAGTATCTCTCCAGATCTTCAGGGAAGCCATGGGGAGGCGATGGAATAACCGGCCTATCATGTCGAGCCATCATTGCGCGTGGGTGTAGCGTGGATGTAGCGTGCCTGGTGTTGAGGTTGGGTGGTTGAGGTCCGTTGTTGAAGCGTGAGCCAATCAGAGGGGGCGAGGAAGGGCGTGCCAGAACTACTGATGGAAATGCAGGAACGTGGTCAGCTCTTGAACACATGAGCGAGGCGCAATACCCTCGGCCCTGTTTCCCTTTCTGCAAGTCACTTTGTATTATCTAGCCCTTGACGATCCGGACCATGTCGGCATTTGCAGACTCTGCGCAGTCGTCAGCAAAGTGCTGATCGGCCCATCACCTACAAAGAGTGCCACCGGCCAAAGAGAAGCATGCGGACTGTACATTGGTATCAGACAGCCAGAAAGACTGTTGACAGAGAAACGTGTAGATGGTCAATATCATGGTGCTACATGGCTGCAAAGTGCTGTTGCAACACGAAAATGGACTCACAGGTAGCGCAGCGCAACACAAGTTGTGATGACTAGTAAGCCTGTAATTTGTTTCCCACCCGTTTTCTTGCCGGGATCACCCTTCTGTGCCGTTGAAGCTCGACGGTAAAGTGCCGAGAGGGGCATCTGTAGTCCATAGCGAACTGTTTGGGGTTGGGGGCAAGTGATGGAAGTGGAGGCAACTTCGTTACTGCTATGCTTGGCCATGTGATATGCGCCGCATTGACAGATACGGTCACACTAGACTCTTGATCGGTATTGTCTTGGAAATGAACACACGTTTCAATGGATGCCCCTCCTTCATGCTGTTGTGTCTCATCTCCACATAGCTGACGGTAAGCATAGTATATAGTCAAAGATACAACCTTTGTTCATTCATGTTCGTCATTTCGGCAGTGGTACTACGATGAAGGTCTAAGTATTATTACAAGCCGGGTACAAGAACACATGCCTGCAAGCAGCAAAGCCACCACCATCTGACCGCACCTTATGCGTAGAAGTTGACCGTGTCCTTCTTCTTCGCCTGCACTTCAGCAATAGCATCCACATAATGCTCATGGCTGATCTTCTGGTGACCAGTTCGGAGAGCAATCATGCCAGCTTCGACACATACGGCCTTCAGCTGAGCTCCACCAAACTCATCGGTACTGCGTGCCAACTCTTGCCAGTTGACACCATCGTCGACGGTCATTTTCCTTGAGTGAATGCGCATGATCTGTGCGCGAGCCTCCTCGTTTGGCAGCGGGAACTCAATCTTCCTGTCCAGACGGCCAGAACGGAGCAGGGCGGGATCCAAGACATCGACTCGGTTGGTGGCGGCCAAGACCTTCACGCGGTCATCCGAGGCAAAACCATCCAGCTGGTTGAGAAGCTCCAACATCGTTCGTTGCACTTCTCTGTCTCCGGACTTTTCGGAATCGAAACGCTTTGTGCCGACGGCGTCCAACTCATCAATGAAAATAATTGACGGCGCTTTTTCTTTCGCTAGAGCGAAGCAGTCTCGGACCAGCTTAGCGCCGTCACCTATGAACATTTGTACAAGTTGTGGGCCGGCAAGCTTGAGGAACGTAGCGTCGGTTTGCGCAGCGCACGCTCGTGCAAGAAGCGTCTTTCCAGTACCCGGAGGGCCGTACATCAATGCACCTATCCCTTGTTAGTCACTGTCCTTAGGCACTCGAGCACTATGCTTACCCTTGGGAGCCTTGATGCCGATCTTCTTGAATCGTTCCGCCTCCTTCATTGGCCAGACTACCGCCTCTACAAGCTCCTCAATCTGCTTGTCCAAGCCTCCGACATCAGTGTACTTTTCCGTTGGCTTCTCGTCGACTTCCATGGCCTTGACTCGGCTGTCGTACTCTGCCGGCAGTGTGTCTAGAACAAGGTAAGAATCCTTGTTTACACCAATCAAGTCTCCGGGTTTGAGCTTCTCATGATCGACAAGGCCGATGAGGGGCAGGAATATTGTCTGTCGCGTAGATGTCTTGATGACGGCCGACTTGCCAACACGGGTGGCGTCTAGGTCAATGTTTGCACCTTCCTCGGCGGCCTCCGCTGTGACATCGAGATCGAGGATTTCGACGACGTTTCCGACAAGATAGGGTAGTTGCCTGTAGCATGTCAACATATCGCCCTGAAGATGGCGGTTGGTAAACACGCTGCGGGGCCGGTCGCCGGCAGCGAGATGGCGTACCTGTTGTTTTCAATCTTGTCTAGGTTGTCCTTGATCTTCTCATTCATCGATGCTTTCTCATGTGTGAGCCGCTGGAACTCGCTCTTCATGATGCGCATGTCGTTCTCCAGTAACCGCCTCCGCGCAATGATGTCTCGTGTACTTGAGTTTAGGATCTCCTCGTCGAGCTGCTCCTCCTCTGGCTCCGCATCCTTCATGTCCGCATCGCCGTCAGCCTTCTTTCCGTCCTTGCCGCTGTCTTTCTTGTCATCGTCCTTTCTCTCTTCCTTCTCGTGGCGCTCAAGATCATCGAGATCCTCGAGTGTGGACATGGTGGCGGTCTAGCGTAAGTGATTGTATGTGAAAACTAGTCAACCAAGACAAGTGGTACTATATCCCGGCAATCGTAAGTAAAACCCGCAGGTGGGTGATTGAAGATAGTGCAGCGTTGATGAGGCTCTGTTTGTGAGGCAGCTATGGATTACGAAGGTGAGAGCTCCCGCGATTACTTAGCTCCGCTCCGACTCTTGGCGTCACCGCCCCGAGACGCCGATCAGTCGCGTTCAACACCAACGTAATGGGAGCGACCATCAACCTGTCACTGACGTTTTTCACAACAGACAAGACCATTTCTGCTCTAGTCACTGTACATACTTGCTTTGTTGAAGATTTTAGATATCCAGACTGGCTTTCATTTTGGAATGATGACTATACGCAGGTACGGTCTGCTAAGCTTCTGCAATCCAAGATTATGGATGTAATTTTTGAAACCCAATGGAATAGTGCATGCGACTAGGAAACTTGAGAACAAATTCTCTTTCACCATCCATCAAGATTCGTGATTCTGTGTTGAGGTCGATGAAGTGGTGTTTGCTGTCAGCTACCTTTTCCAGACATTGCAACTTCTTCACCACAGCACCCGCTTTCTTTAGGTGATTCCTTTACTTTCACTCACTGGATATGGCACTAAGAAAATGAGTGGGTGCCTAGCCTAACCGAGTTAAGTAGCACAGCACTGGGTAACACAATTCTACAGCAATTACGATGAATTTTCAACCATCAAGACATCCTTTTCCCCATAGATTCCGACTACAAAGATCTCCACCGATGCTTCTCAATCGTTTGGCCTATTGCATACCCCTGATTCCACGTATCTGCATCAGAATGACATCCACCATCGTGGGTAAATCAGGTCGGGTATACGCTCAGCGCGAGGTGCTCGCGGATCGCAAAGATCCTAGACTCAGTGTCTTCAAAGCCGAGTACGCCATAAAACGCTCACCTATAGAATTTATCTTGACAGAAGTGGTTTTAGATCCCATGGCCAGTCTTTTATTTCCATGAGAGTAGCCAAACCATTCTACGACCTGTCATTACGCCTTGCAGCTGATTTCCCCGAGTCCCGTTGGCTTCGCATGCATGCTGATTCAAGCGAAGAAGAGAACGTCCTAATCTATCCCTTTTATCAACAAACCCTGCTTGGACTGCTCTGAGACGATCCAGCAATCTCAGGTGCAGCACAGAAGAAAATTCTGCAAGAGACAGGAGAAGCAATACAAGAACTACATGGCAAGAACTGGCTCCACATGGGTACGCTCAGCAGTTCAAATCAATCTAACACCACAGTATCCCAATTGACAATCGATCTTGACAGACATCAAATCCGATAATATACTGGTCAACTGGACTTGCGACGAAGAGGGTACCAAGACAATCACCGACGTCGCTTTAGGCGACTTTGATATCGCCTTTAGGTTCGATAAGGGAGCGCTGCTTTATAAAACTTGTGCAGTAAGAAACGCCATGTAGCGCAGTGCAGAAGGGCAGACTGGGAGAGGTTTGTCGAAGGCTTCAGACGTTTACTCATTCGGACTGGTTGTGAGTTGCTTTCCACCGTTTTCGTGGCTATCACTGAAGGAACTCGTGCTAAGTGTTCGTGCAGTGCATATATACCCTCGGGGGTAGGGAACCGCGACTCATCAACGATTGTCCGGAGCTCGCTAAGCTCGGTACAAGCCCCCAGCAAGCAGTAGTGACGCGACACTTCTCGTATTTTGGACCAGCGAACCAGGGTCTGCTCAATGTCATTAGTTGCGAGAAATGGACAAAAGCTCTCAGAATATTATCTAAAGAGACTGATTTGTTTGTGCAAGACCATCCAGGCATGAGCTTCGAGGTGTGGGGGCATGCATTCGGCTCTGGGGCACAGAAGATGATATCTGGAATGACGAAGATTGATCCAAGGGCCAGGCCAACGATAAATCAGGTTATGGAGCATCTGTTGTGGAAGGAGGCCATTTTGACGGACAGATGAGGTGGCGGGGAGGCTTCATGCATGTGCCATTTGAGAGCGGGTAATATTATGACTGCAGCCTATAAGCGATTACTATGAGAAGACAGCCCAGCTCTACTGCGCCACGCAGCCCCAAAAGGTACAGTATACTGCATAAGCGGTATCTGGAGCTGAATAGCTATCTTAACGTGACAGATTAGCAGCTGATTGAACTACTGCTGCCTGATATCATCCCTTCTCCGATAACCTTTCCCCCTAGCCTTGCTTTGGAGTGGCTATTCAATCTCTAGAAGTCTGACGCTGTGACGTCTCTTGCGCAACATATCCACGGTAAATTCTGTGTATGATGGCGCCGCTAAGGCTTCTCGCCCTAGGAAAGCACCTTTCATGTCGATAATGTCCCTGCAGCCTTGCTGACAACGCTATACAGATGGAGGTGGGGTGCGCGGCCTCGTTATCCTTCTCATGCTTAGGAGCCTCATGTACTTGATCAACCCTCAGCGTCCGCCGAAGCCTTGCGATGTTTTCGATATGATCGTGGGAACAAGCACCGGTGGTCTTATTGCTATAATGCTTGGGCGGCTCGTACGTGGAACCTGGACCATATCAGTCACATATCTGATTACGATTCATATATATATAGGAGATGGATGTGGAAGCAGCAATAGACGCATACAAACGGCTCTCGAAGCGTGTATTCACTCCAAGAAAACGAATACATATCGGAGGCACATTTGTCCACAAGGTGCTGGGATCAGAGACTTTTGACCATGAGGTTTTGGAGAAAGTCATTAAGGAGATTGTCTCAGCACGTCTGGGCTCGGATACGGACGGTGGAAGTGTGAAGTTGTATGAAGACAGACCAAAATGTCCTATGTGTGTAGACTCCAATCAAACAAGACCATATGAGAATGCTGACTTATTATCCCTCTCCAGTTTCGTATGTGCCACAATGGTCAACGGTGGCATACAGCGCTTACGGAGCTATCCATCTACGGCTGAGGAACCATTTGACTGTACAATCTGGGAGGCTGCCAGAGCTACCTCTGCTGCACCGACTTTCTTTGCGCCAATTAAATTTCCGAATGGGATGGATTTCCGTGATGGTGGGCTTGGTGCGAACAATCCAATATTTGAGCTCATCAACGAAGTCCGGAAGGAATACCCCACTAGAGACATATCTACAATTGTGAGCTTAGGAACAGGTGTATCATCATCCATGAAACTTGGTCGTGGATTAATTTCGGTTGCGGAAGCATGCTCCAAAATAGCAATGAATACGGAGAAAACGGCAGAGTCGTTTGCAGCGCAGTATTCCCATCAACAGGGTATATATCGCCATAAATACTTCCGTTTCAATCCGACCAATGGTCTCCAGGGAGTAGGTTTGGATGAGTGGGAAAAAGAAGATGAGATGATGGCAAACACACTCACATACCTCAGAACGACGGCTCAGGAAGATATGTTAGAGAGATGCAAAAGAAGCCTCTTAGAAGAGAATATTAGGTAGGATTTCAATTGCATGTTTCTAACAATCTGTGCAAAAAAGAGGCTGACACCGAGTTAGCCTCGACATCCCTCAAGCTCCTCTGAACAATTATCAAAGTCTGGTTCACGTAATGCCACATAGATCATCCAAAACAGGTTTTGGGTTTTATCAGCCTGAACATATTCGAAAGCATCCAGTCAGTAACTTCGCACCCAGAGAAGAAATGTTGACTATTGAAAGTGCTCTTGGATCCACATTCTCGGATTCGCTCAGACCTAAAATCATATCCATTGTGGGATTTGGCGGCTCCGGAAAGACACAGTTGATGCTGCAGTACGCCTGGACGCATCGAGACGCATATGGAGTTGTCCTTTGGATTGATGCACAGTCATTGGACTTCCTGAATGACACGTTCTCTCTTGCTGCAGAGCAGCTCGGTCTTGTCCTACCTCGTACTTGGGTATCAAACTCCAGGACTACAACTACTGTTGCCCCATTCATACCAAAACTTCAAAGGAATGTTGATGCAATTCAGAAGGAGTTGAGGAGAAGGAACCAGAAATGGCTCATTCTGATAGATCGTGCTGATGAGATCCACATGATTGATCAATTGCCAAAGTATTTCCCTTCTGCTCCAGGTGGATGTATAATTGTTTCTTCCAGACGACAAGAGGCAGAGAGACTTGGTGGCCATGCAATAAAACTGAAAGGTCTTCCCTTGGATAGCGCTCAGCAGCTTCTGATCCACCATGTTTTCGGCACATCCACAGGCTTGGTCCAGGGAGAGCAGCTTGAACAAGCAAAACAGGTGGTGGAGACATTGGATTGCATTCCTCTGGCGATTGACCTTGCTGGGACGTAAGTCTATAGAGCCCTGGAACAGTTCTTTCACACTTATAAACTTTCAACATAGATACATCAAGCATAACCTTGGGGGTCGAATAGATACCTATGTAAAGCTGTACGAATCTCAAAAGCACGAGTTGGTCGAACGTGCTCTTGGGCGAAACCATCCAATCGCTCAAGACTATTCCGCCTCTGTCCTCGCGACTTGGAGGGTTTCAATCAACGCGATCGCCAAAGAATATCCCGGGGCAGCAAAGTTCCTTTACCTTCTGTGCTTCCTCGATCCTTCAAACTTGAGAAAAGACCTGTTCAAGAGGGCTTGTTCTCCCAAGCTCTATTTGAATCGCGAAGGCTCAATCGATGTACTTTATCCATGGATGAATCGTGTCCCTGACTGGCTCCTGAGGCTCTTCTGTGGCCCAAATGGCCACTGGAATGACTTGCAATTTTTCGATACTATTGGGATCATATCAGCTTTGTTCTTCATCGAGTGCAAAGATCTTATTGGTACTTGGGTTCACCCTTCTGGGGAAGTGGAGGGCACAACTTTAACCTCGGACGGAAGCTCCGTTACCTTACTCGAATTACCGCAACCGCTTCACCACTTGGGGAGATGCTTTCACGACGATAAATCAAGAGAAGAATTCATCCATGACGCATTCTCTGTGGCGATTCACAGCTTTCAGAACGATATCAAGCGTGACGGGAATTATTCAAACATCGGGCGGACGCCTATGATGTATGTTGGATTTGGAAGGGCCATAGATAACCGCAAAAAGATGGAAAGACAGCTCGATGAGGTCTATGAGCATTTCAGGGCTCTTCAATCCAAATCGGATAGTTCCTGGACCATTTTCAACTATGCGATCCCTGTTCGGCGACGATGCGAGGCTATAATGTTTGCAAGTATATTCTGGCCACGGCTTTTCTCTCAACCCCGCTTCGCAACATCACCGGAGCCGTTCGAATGGAAGATGCCAAGCTGGGGAACAATCCTGACTATCGCAGAGTCAGTGTTACTGAAAACTGGGCGGACAACTCAAAGAACTCCACGTCCAAGTCCAAATCCGAGTTTGAATGGACAAAAGTTTCGACGTCCAAGTCGAAGTTCAAGCGCAATTCCAAGTTCAAGCTCAAGCCCGAGCCCGAGCCGAAGCTCAAGCCCGAGTCCAAGTCGACATACTGCTCGACGTACTGCTCGAAATATCGGTCAACTTCTAACTCAACGTACAGGTCTACTTCCGCAGGGAGAGCAGTACTCTAATCTTGACTGGGATGAGAAAGATTATGTGGATGAAAACACTGATCCTTACGACAATGATATAAAAGATTCCGTAAGCGATTACTATTGTCCTAATAGCGATGATGAGTTTCGTATCGAATGGAATAGGAGGCGTCTCTTAGATCACAACAAGGTTTCCGTCTTAGAGATCAAAGAGCTTCAAATCTCTATAGAGATTTCAGAACGCCAATCGCCCTTTAAGAATGAAGGGCTCGACATCCCACCTCAACACCATGGTCTCGGACTCCCGGAAGTACACATGGTGGCAATGATGGCCGAAAAAATGTGGGTTACCCAGGGGCGTAGACCCAACTACGAGGGATGGAAGGCAGTCTCAGATGGCATCAAGAGACAACTCCGCCAAAGGATGGTAGAGGAACTGGTGTTTCAACGATGGCTTGGAAGCCAAGTGGGTAAACATTTCCGCCAAAGGATTGAAGCTCTTGAAAATGAGTTCGATCAGCAGACATGTTAGCCTCTACTATAATACTAGCGTCGCTAGCTAATACATGACCGCTTGGCCATCTCCGGCTGAGGCTAACAGCAACCGCAAGATGCGAGGACCTAAGCTGGATCCTCTCAATACAAGATAGCCCTTACAAGGGGGCTTAGGCGTGAATGTGTAGTTTGTCGTAGTGCGGTACTTTATATCCACTACTCTCAGTCTACCGGCAAATCGGAGCCTGGGATGAAAGCGGCCCCCACCAAAACAGCGTAGCATCAACGGGATGCATCCCGCAGTCCCATCATACACAATGCGCTCAATAGGTGTGGTGAGAAAATAGATTCACATGAGTGCAGAACTATCCTATAGATGTTGAATTAACTGTGTTATGTTGGGTGGCTTGTTGTGAGCGGCGGCTTTGTTGGTGGGGTCTTGGCAAAGGCTGTTCCTGCAATGTTCTCCAGAAATATTTTGATTTTCGAAGATACCGTGTCCGTGCGCGCAATGCGCGGATTCGCGCAATGCGCCGAACCCCCCTAATGCGCACCTGCAAACCTGAGGCTATAGAGCCACATACAATAGCTATTGTCACGAGATAATTCGTTAGATTGCTCTATACGCCTAGGCGACAATATTCTACTATATAAATTAATTATATAAAGTTGCTGTTCGGCCGCTGCGCGTGGTGTGGGTGCGAGGTGCCGCAGGAGGCTCTATAGCAACAACACCACGCCGCGCAGCCACTGCACCAC